TTAAAGAAAATTTGAATAAAGCTATTGGTGTTTTGTCTCTTGGTTTACCTTCTGTACTATCTTATTGTGGTGTCATCTTTGCACTTACAATTGGTATCAGAGTGGGTCACCTAAGTTACTGGTGTGATCATGGAGGATGAGGACGAAATCTGGTTCAGGAAGAATGACAGAGTTTGTATGAAGACCAATAAAGATGGTGTCATGGGATTTCTTCTTTGATTTGGAAGGTGGTGATCTTCGAATTGGTTTTTGACCATGATGTGACTCATAGGGGGAGATTGAAGACGTGGCTTTTAAGCTCGTTATGATGAGTGCACATGCATAGTCAAAAAGGGGGAGATTGAAGATGCAATTTGCAGAGGTGTTCTGTATTAGTTCGTAAAGTACTACAGGAGGTAGTACATGTGTGTGTCATGAAGATGGGCTATGTTGGAGTTCGTGGTTCGTGATGAACGTGGGCTTGCTGAGCTTGGAAAAGGAAAGAGAATATGTCACTGAAGACATATGGACGTTTTCCATAAAGCAAAAGAGAGTTTGCTTGAAGATGAAGTTTTCCATTAAGGAAAATGGAAAGTTACCTTATGTGTATTGGAAAGACTTGGAGAGCAAGTGGAAGACTTGGAGAGCAAGTTAAAGACGTGGAGAGCAAGTTCTGGTCTTATATATTAAGGAAGACGTGCCTTATGAGAAAGCAGACCTCACAGAAAAGAAAGAAGGGTTTCATTGTATATTGGTGTGTGTCATTGCTTGGTGTCGAATCAGTGTCTGAAGTAGTTTCCAATGGAGTCTGATGTGGACTTAGATTGGTGGCGTTAGAGTTGGCGCTTTGTGTGGTGGAGTTTTCATCGTGTGTAGCTTGTGGTGAGCTTTGTGTGTGCTTGGGTGATCAAGCGTTTGGTGTCACTGGTGTGCGTTGGGTGCTGACATACTTGGTGAAGTACTTCCGAGAAGTGGAAGATTGAAGCCTAGACTCAGGGGGAGTTTAGCAAAGGCGATTTTATTGAAGAGGTCTGTGAAGATTGCAGCTGTAGAAGACAGTGTGCTCTGGCGCGCCCAGATGGTGTTGTATGCATGAGTGCTGATACCTAATCTTTGTAGATTACTTCTTAGAAAAGAGTGGTAAACACAAGTGTGTGTTGTACCATATAGCAATTGTAGGTTGCTCCTTGTTCTAAGTCAATAAAATCTGGACTGGGTCCCGGGGATGTAGGAAACGAACTGCGTTAACAAATTTGATGTGTCTTACTTTCTGCACTTACCATTGAAGATGTAATGCTGACTGATTTAAGAAAGTACTAAAAAGATGTAGCATACGTTTGTAGTGTTTCATGTGCTTATCCCGAAGTAGTACAAGAAGTGGTTCAAGAAGTCATTCAAGAAGCTAAGCTGTGAGGCGACTGCAGAAATATATAAATGGACAACGTGGGTTTGAGTTATATAAGTCAGGACGTGGCTGCTGAATTAAGTAAACATCTTAAATAGTATATTTAAGATAAGAAAAACTTACTTATTCTTAAGAGAAGAAAAAAATGAAAGATTGTGTGGAAACCCTAAGTTTAGGGTTTAGCAATCAGATAAATACCAGGAGGCCGTCAAAGAAAAAGGCACGCGCCCAGGATATTCTTGAGAGAGGCACACAGGTGTGTGGCGTCATCCCACCAGACAGATGGTGAGATCTGTTGGTGGTAGAGAACTATGCTCTTCATAAAATTAATGAGTAGTAGTTGCTCTAACCATTGTAATCTAGATAAGAGTGGTATGCACAAGTGTGTACTAGATACCATATAGCAATTGTAGGTTGCGACCTTTTCTAGTGAATGGTTTCTTGACGTGGTCCCGGGGATGTAGGAAACGAACCTCGTTAACAAATCTCTATGTGTTCTTTATTTTATGCTCATACATACTCTATACATACTTGAACACATAGATCTAGCCGCAAATATGCACTTACAATTGGTATCAGAGCGGGTTCCCGCTAGTGATCATGTCAGATCAGTTCTTATTTCGGGTGAGATTCTAGCTTTGTGGCTAGCTGATAAGAAAGAAGAGGTTCATCATGTATGTTTTGTCTTGTGTTCGAGTAGCGTATATTCTGAGGAAGGAAGAAAGTTTCAGCAACGGTGACAGAGGATAAATTGGAGTTGCAAAGAATTCGTCTGATTTACATCGTGAACCATCAGAAATTAGAATTCAATTAAAGCCGGTGCAAAAGAGATATGTGGAGTTAACAGAAGAAATCATGGTTTGCGTATCAAAGTTCTAAAGGACCACGTTGAAGCTTTTTGGTTGTGATTAAGGACTGGATGGTAACCTTGTAATGACTTGTGGAAGAAGGAAATATGTGTAAAGTTTATCCGGAGGTATGAAAGTACGTCATAATAGTAAATTGTGCTGAAGAAGAACTTGTGAAGTGACTTTACCTAATCTGAGCAATAGAACTTAGTCTCATTCTTTAAGCTACATGTGTCCAAGAAGTGAGTGTGAGCATCAGATGTTGTTAGAGAACTACGGTCGTGAAAGAATGCAACATGAGAAAGATCTTGCTCAGAATTGCTACAATATCAACTAGAGACTGTTCTGTGGGTACGTCAGGCTCAGATCCTGTTCTATTGGCGACAGCGGTGTCTGGTTGATGTCAGGACAGCTGATTCTAAGTAATTATCATCTATTGAGCCTCATGTTATTGTTAAAGGAGAATTATCCAGGGTTCAATACTGCTTAAGTCTGTTCGTATGCATCTGGTATTTTGGTCGTATTTTCTGGGTTTGTGATGCAAGAAGCTNGTACGTCAGGCTCAGATCCTGTTCTATTGGCGACAGCGGTGTCTGGTTGATGTCAGGACAGCTGATTCTAAGTAATTATCATCTATTGAGCCTCATGTTATTGTTAAAGGAGAATTATCCAGGGTTCAATACTGCTTAAGTCTGTTCGTATGCATCTGGTATTTTGGTCGTATTTTCTGGGTTTGTGATGCAAGAAGCTGGTATGTATGTGTGGAGAGTGGAGATTCTGTTCATATTTTCACTGAAAGTCTGAAGTCAAAGAAATTTGTGCCAATCTGAGAGAAAGCCGTCATGAGATCATTGTGGAAGCAATATCAGCAAGGAAATCTGAGGGAACTGAATCAAGATCTAGTATCCATTCTGTTCTCAATTAAGAATGGAGAAACATTTTCTGGTAGTAAACCTTGGAAGCAACGAAGAGAAAACATTACATAGGAACGCAGATCTTTGTTATATATGCTAAACCCTACATAAAAAGGTTGAAGTGGTTAAGTATCCATTGCAGCAGATATTTGATCTTGCTTTAAATGCATATAAGAGGAGATGGGTTCAGCAGAACCAGTTACCAGAAGCAGAACTTGAGAAGAAGTACAAGCACCATCATCTGCCTCAGATTCAGTCTTCAGGAGGAAGACATGTCTACGTGGAAACCAAAATTGACTCTGTTGAGAGACAGAGCTTGACTGTAGTAACAATGTTCATGTTGTGAAGAAGAAGCTTCAGGTTGCCCTTAAAGGAAAGCTCCGTGACTATTGGGATATGATGCTGAAGAGAGATGACTGTTGTGCTGTGAGAATTGATTCTCCACTCTTGCTTAAGTGTAACTTAATGCCCATGAGCTCTTCTACTTTGTGTTTATCACTTACTGGGAATGATCTGCAGAGAAAAGATCAAAGTGAACCTATTGTTGAGATATTTAGATACTAACGTTGAGTCAATCCTTGTTAATGGCGAAATGAGAGAGGTGCATACTATTTTGAGAGAGCTGAGAAGAATTGATAGTCTTAGAGATCAGGCTGCATCTATGTTGCAGGTTTTTCTTAATTCACAAGGAAGAACAAGGTGTTTTAGATGATTTTCATCAAAGGTCAAAAGCTAGAGAAGTCTTTAGTTGGTTCTGCGTGAGAATGATTTTGAGACAGATTCTGAAAATTTTGGATTATCCAGATATCTTGCTGGACGTGTGAAATCAAGAGTGCCTTGATTATACAAGATGACACTACGTGACTCATGCTCTGTTATAATTTCATAAAGGAAAAGTGTCAGGTTGATGAGAGTTGGGTTATCATGATTGAGACTCAAGAATCTATTGCTCTAGTTTGTATAATCTGAGTTCTACTGGTTAATGAAATATGCCGAGTAAAAGCTTCTGCAGAAAGTAGCTTATATTGAAGAGGAAGGCTCGACACATCTGAGTGAGAATTTTGGTTCAAGATCACATATTTTTGCGTGAGTTGTATAATGCAAGATTGGATTAAGGCAAGTCTCAAAGAAGCTGATAAAACACTGAAACAAAGGATGATTGCAGGTGTTGCAGAGTGTGTTTAGTAAAGCATCAAGTATCCTTTCTAAGGCTGGTTGATAAGAGGATCAAGGTCGGTTTCAAGATGATAATTTTGACGAGGTAGAGACATTAAAGCATAGATGTGATTAAGGAGATCACGAATACTCATGAGTGTAGTACGTGATGTGAAGAGAGCTATTAATGAATTTGATATATGAGTCCAGACAGGGACATTACGGAAAGGCTGATACATCAACAGCAGTGTGGAGATTCAAGCAAAAGAAATCAAAGAAGGTATTAGTGACCAATTGAGATTGGCAGCTTGTGACTGTACACGAGAACTTGAGTTGTACTGCAAGTTAGAAAATTCTGTGAGAGACAGAAAAGAAAGGGATCAAGTGACTTACCAAAAGGACAAAGACATGATTTCTTAAGTAGTCTGGACCAATTTGTTTTCAAGCTTACCATGTATATAGTGAGAAATGGACATTCAACCTATAGGAAAGGTTGCAGAAAATGGTATACTGCAGGATTGGTGAGGATAGTGTTTCAAGACATATGTGAGTAAGGAGAAACTTTGCAAGAGATGAGTTTTTGATCAAACAGTCTACTGAAACATAGCATGCTTATTCCAGTGAGATAGCACAAAACTTAATTTCTGGAAGTCTCTTGGAAATTAATAGGTTGCGTTATTGACTATTCTGAAGTAGTGGATGTCAAGAAGCTCTGTGAAGATTAATCAGAAAAGTCTTCTCTCAGTGGGTACGTTGTGGCTATGATCAGAAAGCTTAAACGGCAAGTACTGCAGTTTTGTGTTTCTAGCGACTATTGGGAGCAATGATGCAAATAGAGTAACTGATATTAGAGATCCAAGATTAGCCTGAAGCAGTCAAATATTCAAAGTTTGCTTCTGAGTTTGTTATATTCAAAGTTTGCTTCTCATCATTATTAGGCATAACCTGTGAAAATCCCGACGAAGATACCGTCGACCGTTTAATCTCCACAGGTAATAACTTCCTCCGATTATTTCTTATTTTCTTGTTATTTTAAATTTCAAACAGCCAGAAAATAACGCAAAGTTGTTAATTATTACTCTGTTTAGAATTTTGTTATTGTTTTCTGATTCTAGTGTAGTATTTTTTTTTGTAACATTAGTGTAGTATTTTCTATTAATTTATTTTAATCCTTAATTAGATTAGTAAAACAATAAATACTATATTTATTAGTTAAATAAGATTAAAACTGATCATTTAATTATTTTTTAGTTTAAACATTGAATATCTTCTAATACTGATGAGATATATATTAAACTTATAAATATTGCAGGAGAAAGTGAAACGTTTTTGCAAAAAGCTATACAAGAGCAAGGTCGAGGTAGGATCTTGGACACAATAAACGAGATACAAGAGAGACATGATGCAGTAAAAGACATTGAGAAGAGTTTGACCGAGCTGCATCAGGTGTTTCTTGATATGGCTGTGTTGGTTGAGCACCAAGGTGAACAGCTCGAGGACATTGAAAGCCATGTCAAAAGAGCTAACTCTCTTGTTCGGTCCGGTGCGGATAAGCTAGTTAAGGCTCGGTTTTATCAAAAGAACACGCGCAAGTGGACTTGCTATGCCATTTTGTTGTTGATTATTATTGTGGTTTTAGTTGTGTTGTTTACTGTTAAGCCTTGGGATAATAATAATGGTGGTGGTGGTGGTGGAGGTTCGAACCGTCAACCTGCTCCGGTGCAAGCTCAGCCACCGCCACCTCCGGCTCTGAACCGGCGGCTACTTCGTTAATTCTTTTTTATTTAGTTCCTCGCTCGGTCTATTCATGGGGTTATGTTTTTGCTTTGGAGATTGAGTTTTTAATGTTTTATATTGGTTCTTTTGTAAATATGTCTCGTACGATCATCGCACGGCTATTAATCGGAGGAAGTTATTACCTGTGGAGATTAAACGGTCGACGGTATCTTCGTCGGGATTTTCACAGATTAAACTGAAATTCTGAAATAGGTTATGCCTCAGTGAAGCGTTACAGTCTCTGTTGTTAAAGAAAATAATGATGAGAAGCCTGAAAGGTTAAGACGTCAGCACAAGTTAGATAAGAGCATGGATGTGTCCAGGGAAAAGTTTCTGATACTGCGATGAGGTACTGCTACAAGATTTTTTGTGAGAACTCAAGCAGGGGGAGAATGAAATGTAATAAAGCAGGGGGAGAAAGATCTTAATCCAAGTTGTTGATTGTTATGTGGTTGTTGCATCCAAGGATAAGCTTGAGTTGACACATTCAAATAAAAAAAAGGGGAGACAGATTTCAGTATTCATAGAAAGAAGAAACATAATGTTGCTCATGCTCAAACATTATCAACAGGAACCTTTTGTTCAGAAGAAAATCACCAAGAATGGAAGTGAATAGTCTGGAACTGCTGAGCTACAATCTAAGATACATGTTCAAGAAGAAGAATACGTGGTGTAAGAACTTACTGCGTTCGGTTCAGCTGAAGTGGTAGCATGACTGAATCATGACTAAGGAATCTAATGGAGCACCAATGATATACTCTGCAATTATGAGAAGGAGAATATCAAGTGTGGTCATGTAACTTGGTTTCAACTGTTCTTTGAACAGAGATGGCCGCAGATTGCAGAAGAAAAAGAAAAAAAAAAATCAGTCTTCGACTTGATAAGACTCTGTGTATAACCATGGAAAAGCTGATATAAAGTTGAATCCGTACTCCAACTTGATTGGATGCATGTTTTGCATTTCTTGTATGTCGTTCCTTGAGCTTAAAACAAGGCTGGAACTGAGCTATCAAAGGAAGGCTGTTATCACAAAGGCTAAACTGCATAGACAAATGCAACCTTGAGTATTAAACGGAAGGACGAAACATAACTGAGTCACTAATTCTCAACAGATCAAAGTTATAGAAGGCTGGTTGTGATGCATATAACAAGTGTTCTCCTCTGTCATTTGCATTCACTACTGAGAATATATGAATGCATACACTTAGACAAACACAGAGCTTGAGGAAACGTGGTTCAGGATCCTCTCACGGTTCGGTATGATTTCTACCTTCGCTGTACACTCAAGATCTTCTTCAACTGTCACAGGTAACAAGGATTGTTGCAGAAATAAGTTCTGAGATGAGGTATTCAAGGCAACGTTTAGGGATTCAAAAGAAGTCCGATGGATATGAAATTTTGTGACGATCTTCTTTACATTACTATCTTGCAATTCAACGGTCGGATTGAGATTTCAACGGTTTGTTTGTGTTTTATTCGATCTGGGTACTAGCTCATCTTGATGTACAGATTTGACTAGTTCAAGTGGAAACGTCAAATGGGCAACCCAAAGAATCCGGGAATGAGCTAAAATTTGTCAGGCACATGAGGGTGAAGGATGAAATTTAAGGACAGCTAACAGAGTTGTGTATCTATGATTTGCAAAGAGGTTGTGCACGGGGTTCAGTGAGGAGTGGATCAGCTTGATGTATCCATGAGATGGACTCACATACTGATAAAGACAGAGGATGGAAGCTATGGGTTGAAGTCTGAGATCAAACACAGAGAAGACTTGATGATATCATCTAAAGTGCATTTGATCTTGTTGATGGTCCTGAACATCTTGAGCTCCATCATTCTTAAATACAGAAAAAGATCTATCTGGGAAAATTTTGATCAAGATCATTGGTGAAAACCTTGGAAATGCTAGGTATGTTTGTCGAACTACAAGAGAAGAAGAGCAGAGTCTGTAACGGTGGATGAGCTAGAGTCTGCATCGGTGGATGAGCTAGAACATATATCTAGCAGATGTAAAACATGATCTGGAGAACGAAAATGATTCTGATCTTTGATGATATAATAAGCTCCAGTACAGGTGTCTATGATTCGGAGTAGGAGAATAGCTGGTGCTTTCTGATACATGGTTTTAACGTCTAAAATGGAGATGTGTGAAGATTATACATATACGATTCTGCTCTGAGAGAATGCCTCCAAGGACAAATCAGTGTTGTTCATGATATGATCCTGAAGCTGGTACAAAAGATGTTTCACTAAGTGATGATGAAGTTTACTTGCTCAGCGAATCTGATAAAGCGAAGAGTAAACAATTTATGTAACAGAATTTGAAACAGAAGTCACAGCAAAGGCAGTTGGAGCAGAATATTCACATCATTTGTGAAAACATGTTGCTCTGATTATCCACTCGGTTCTTCTCTGCCTCATATCCAGCATGGACAGAGATTTTGGCAGAAGTATACAAGGATCAAGCTATGAAGCAAAGAGAGAAAGATCTTATCAATCCAAAGGCATAAGAACGGATTCTCCTCCATCCAATGGCAAGTGATCCAAGACAAGATGATTCGTTGATTCCATGGCCACTGAATCTACCATTCCCTGATGGCTACGATGATCTCATATGCTTTGATACGGTCCTTGAAACAATCTCGACTGAAAATATTACAACACTACAACAGAATCTGGCGTTTGGGACCAATAAGAACTCAGAGGCAGAGCATGCGTTGCTGATGCATTTAGAGCAAGCATTACCGGATGAACAATATCAAATCTTATGACAAATTTCACGAACCGGCTCTAGTTCTCTCTCCAAAGTCCAAACGCAAGAAAGTGGAGCTCGAAGAAGAATTTCCAGAATGAGGTTAAGGATGCTGGTGATGGTAAGAAGTCGTCAGAGTAGGTAAATGTTTTCGAGGAACCTAATGGAACATTTCTTATGTCAATAACTATATCAGAATCTTTGATAGAGGTAAGAGTATGAGAAGTGCCGGATGATATGCTTCAGTGCAGTAAGCATTATGTGTTTTTATCTTAGTTAAGCACTCAAGCAGGGAGGGAAATTGATATCCTTGTGGTAATCTACCGGAGGTTTGATGTTGGTACAACTACTAGGCGTTCCTGGTGTTTTGAATTTATGGAAAGTATGTGATATATGTGGAGAAAAGAAAAAGAGGTAAGAGCTTGTATTCTAGTGCAAAGAGAGCTCTACATAAGCGAGAGGATAATAAGCTTTTGAGAGAGCTTTACATAAGCGAGAGGATAATAAGCTTGTGTTTGGATCTGAGAAACAAGACAGATTAAGATCTTTCATTATTGGCATAAGTGTTTGCTTGTACTATCATCGTGTCCAGGTTTTTTCCACCTAAAATTTGATCCTGAAGGTGAAGATGTACACGGTTATTTGCAGAAGACAATCATGTTGGTTGATGGCCAGTTTGGTCGCCCACATGAAGTTGTTGGTTCGAGGAATTAATGAAGGTGCGTGGATAGCTGTGAAGACTGTGTGAGAGGAGCCTACGGTGGTCAGAGGAGAGGGGAAGAAGTCCAGTCGAAGGAGCCAAGCAAGGCAAGAAATTGTTCGACAAGTAGTTCGGCGGATGCGTCAGAGGCTAATGCAGTACACATGAAGGTGCAGACGGTGTGTCTGTGAAATAAGACTTGACATCTAAGCATCTATGTTTTAGCTTAGTATGCAATCAAGCAGGGGGAGAAGTGATGACGTTCTGATCCAAAGAGTATATATCTCGTGGGGGAGAATAGCATGGTGATGGACGTCTTGATGTAGATGGTGCATATCTCGTGGGGGAGAAGAGCATATCTATGTGTGAAGATGAATATAGTGCAAGTCTCGTGGGGGAGAATGGCATATGGAGTGAGGAAGTTTCCAAGTGAGGAAACGTGGTTGCTGAACCAGAAGAGTATTGTGCTTGATTGGCACACAAAACTAAAAGGGGGAGATTGAAGATGCAAGTGGAGCTTGTAGATGTCAATGGTCTTCCGTGACTAACTAGACGACGAAGTCACTGATGCTAGAGGCATTAGTCGTTACTACATAAGGCATGCGGAGTGGTGGTTTACCATGTGGATGCAAGATATGCTGAGATGGAGAAGGATAAACTAGAGGTTTATGTCTTGATGTAGTCGTTGAAGTAGTTGCTCATGCAGGGTGTGTCAGAGAGTGAACCAGGAGGCATGCGGAGTGGTAGAGACCATGTGAATGCAAGATGCTGAGCTGGTGTGGGATAAACTTGAGGAGCAAGTTTATACCGTGGAGAAAAGGCAAGAGATAAACTTGAGGAGCAAGTTTATGCCTTGAGGAATAAGTACAAATCCAAGAAAAGGAAAGTGTACTTATTAATATGGAAGTTGTCCATATATCCATGTTGCCTTGGAGACTAGGGTTTCAGAAACGTGGAGATCACTATAAAAGAACTATGGAGACGTGTGTATTCCATAAGACACTGGGGCTTTTATTATAGAGGAATGGTGAAAATCCCTTAGGGTGTTCTTGGGTCGTGCTGAAGCAGAGGCTGAAGTACTTGACGGCAGAGAGACATAAGTGAGTAGCTTAGGAATCATTCAGTGACGTGTGTTAGGGTGTTAACACTAGACGTGTAAAGCTGAATAAACAAGGTCTTGTAAAGATTGTTTAAAGAAAATTTGAATAAAGGTATTGGTGTTTTGTCTCTTGGTTTACCTTCTGTACTATCTTATTGTCGTGTCATCTTTGCACTTACAGCACTTGCTAGGGCTGGGCAATCGGGATCCCAATCGGGTTTCGGTTCAGGTTAACTCGGGTTTCGGGTTTTCGGGTTCATGAATTTCGGTCTCATTCGTATACTATAAAATTTCGGATCGGATTCGGTTCGGATTTAGTCGGGTTCGGTTCGGGTTTAGTAACATGTCCAAGATCCGGTTGAACCCGAAATAATTTTGGTTTCGGATACTAATCGGGTTACCGGTTCTAAAAATACTAATTTATACTCAATTAAACTCACTATATT